TAAGCACATTATCCACAGGTCCCCGCAAAGCCTGTTGATTTCACGGCTGAGGGGCTTCCTGTCATCCAGGCCCCTGCCTCCACTTGCAAATCCCTTCTTGTCTGTCTGATTCTACACCAACTGTAAAGTGGATACACATTTCATTAACTTACTAAGCACCCCTCTCCTTCACAGCAAATCCTAGAGGTGTGTCCTCCTCCCCGGTACTGTACCAGTAGTCTTTTCCATGAGCACAAAACCCCAAAGTGAGTAATATGCATGTCCTCAGAACCCAGGCATAGAGCCAGGGACTAAGGATGTGCTGGGAGGCACAAGACACAGACTTCGAGACCACAAAGCAAAGGCCTTAGAAAGCCAAGTGTGCTCGGAGCACAGCCAAGGAGGAAACAAAGCTCTTGTATTGTATTTTTGATGACAGTAATCAAGCAGAGTGCCTAAGCCTAGCAAATTCAAGAGAAGTAAAGTACATGCTAAACTTGAGGCTTTAGTTACCCCAAAGCTCTAAACTCTGAGCACAAACCGGTATGAGACAAATATCAACAAGAACATGTAGGGTTTGTGGTTTGGGGTTGGTGGTGGTACTAGGAGCAGGGAGGGAGGAAACGCCCATGATGCTGCAGTTCTGAAGCGCTCTTCCTGGTGCAGCTGGCCTGGTTTTTCCATTACTCAGTACAAAGTCTGTTTCCTGGGATCCCAGAAAGAGAAGTGAAAAATAGCTTTCCCTGCCCCCTTTGCACCTTCCCTTTTATCCCTATCCCTGAAGCACCCAAAGATTTTGCGGCCCCTGCTCTCACATCAGCCGTAATCAAGGATAGAGGCCAAGAGGAAGGAAGTGGTCCAAGAGCTCTGCAAAGCCGAGGGGCCCTCCCCACCCAGTTGCTTGGTGATGATGTCACCATAACCAACTCACTTAGTAATTGGAAGCTGAGGGCCCCACAGACCACTGCGACTCCCCTCCTGCGGGCTGCTGGGCCCTGACATTCCAGTTCATCACGTGGCAGGAAAGGGTCTAGAGCACTGACCAACTTCAAGAAGCAAATGCCCTAGACGCATGCATCTGCAGCTGGGAAGCAAGCTGCATTCAAGCAGGCACAGCACAGACCTGCTGTTTGGCCTACAGAGCTCATATACAAATCCCACTGCTCCATTTCTGCCAAAAATGTTGGCTTCCCAGACCCCAGCCAGTCTGTCAACAGCCTATTCATATAAGCGGTTCCCACATCAGTCTACACCGCATGCCTCACCACTGTCGGACACTCTCTGAGCTCTGAAATTAAACACTAGCGTTTCTTTATTTTACACTACACCGAGTGGAAAATTACCAAACACAGAAGTGGGGGGGTGAAGTATAAAGGGTTTTGAGGATAATTCCCTGCCTCCTTTGCCATAGCACTCAAGCCGACACAGGCCCAGCAGGTCACCGGGGGCTAAGGGAACACAGTAGAAGGGCACATCCCGTGAGCTACTAGTGAAAGCGTGCCTCAAGCCCGGGCAGCGTTGGATCGTCTCATCACAGGCAGGACCTGGTCTCAGGCATCCTTGTCTGTGCACTCAGCTTTCTAATGAGCTTCCACTGATGCCAAGACTGGTGCTGCACTCGCATCTGGACAGGTGTTCTCCCATCTCCTACAAGGACGCGAGAACTAGATTGCCCCCTTGGTCATTCCAAATGGCAGAGAACGGAGGGGCTGAAGCTTCCCCAAATGGGAGGAACAGTCCCAGTAAGAGAAAACCTCAGACCACAGTGACTAGAGGTCTTTATCTACCATCTAACATGCCGTATCAATCCTAGACAAATTACAAAATCAAGAAAAAAGGAAGTGTTTTAAAGACAGGAGATGGGGTTCTGAGTCTTAACCAAGCACTCAGTATATTCTGTCTTGGCAGAGACCAACTACACCCTGTTGGTTCTTCCAATAGAATATAGGCAATAGCAAATTTTGGAATATACTTATAATCTGCTTTATAATCTCTAAGTATTCATGGTCAAGTATTATATAATTATGAAAGAACTCCGGGCACACGACTATGAGCAACTTGCTCTAGACAACACAGCTATCATTCAACATTCACATGTGGATTCCAGAAACATAACAGGTAATCCCTGAGCCAGGCATGGTGCAAACACCTGAAATCGCAGCACTCAGGGGGGCATGGTAGGAAGAGTTTGGGTTCAATGGTCTGCCTGAGCCACAGAGTGAGATCCTCTCTCAAAGTAAGAAGGGTGAGGAAGGGGAAGGGAAGATGGGGGGAAGGAAAAGGATAAAGGGGGGCAAGAAAAACCCAATAAAAAGTAAATAGAGAAGTAAATGTATGTATGTATGTGTGTATATATATGTTTATGTCACTTGCAAGCCTATACATAAATAATTACCTTAATATAAATATACAATAAATATTAAAGCCATATTTTTTAAGTGTTAATGTTAAATTCTATAGAAGAAGCTGTCCATCCAGGTATCCTCACAATATTAAAACGTATTGTGAACTAAAGGCTAACAATACCACTCATGTCTCACTCAAAAGTAGCACATTAACCACAAGACCACTCGCATCTCTTTGCGGAATATAATCAATATTTGATCTAATTACTGCTAAACCAAGCCAACGCTTGCATTCCCCCAAATTGCTACAACATCCAGGACTCGGTCTAGGGCCCACATTGCCCTCTAGTGGCAACTACTACCACTCGCACGGGCACAGCAGAGAATAGAATGCCATCCTCAACAGGAGGCTCAAACTCTCCCCTGCTTTCTCAGATAGGTCCGCTGTGGTCTGAATGAGGGTATTACAGGTTCACATGTTTCAATACTCCGTCTCCAACTTGTGGTGTTTGGGAAGGTGGAACCTTTAAGATGTGGAAAACCTTGCTGGAGGAAATGTCACTGACTTTGAGTTTTATCTCCTGGCCCCATTTCCTGTTCTGTCTACTCCTGTGGAGAAGAAACGCCATCACTCTGCTTCTGGACTGGTAGGACAGTCTCAGGCTCCCGCTGCCGTGTCTTCTGCCTGTCACAAACGGCAGGAACCCTTCTGCACCGTCAGCCAAAATCAGCTCTTTCTTCCCTAACTTGCTTTTTACCAAGGTATTTCATCACAACACAAAACTAATTAATACAGATAAAACAGATAATATATTTTAAGGGAATTCTCAATATAACTAACTCTACTACCACACAATCATTTTTGTTCAGTTTATAACAGAATAAGCATTTTAGAATTTAATCTGACAGAGTCCTTGAACCCAGTGCCTTGTTTCTGGTACCTGCTGTAAAGTAAGCAGGTTTCTCAGAGAGTTCTGGAACAGTGGGATATTAATCAGAAACATTGTATCATAATCTCTACCCTTGGTATAGGCAGCCTCCCTAACACTTACTTTTGCAATTGCTTGTGGGTAATTTGAGTTTCCCATGAATGACTGCGGGCCATGACCCTTTTGAGGGCTGTTTATCAGCTATCCTACATTATTAGATATTTACATCATGACTCATAACAGTAGCAAAACTACAGTTATGAAGTAGTAAAAAGAATAATTTTAAGCAACATAAGGAACTATATTAGAGAGTTACGGCAATGGGGAGGTTGAGAAACACTGGAATAAGGCTTTATTTCTTTTTCCTTGAAGATTTATTTGTTTTTTTTATCTTATGGGCATGAGTATGATTTTGCCTGTATGTTTGTTTGTGTTTCACGTGCATCCCTGGTGCTTGTGGAGATCCCAGGAGGTTACTGGACCCTTAGAACTGGAGCTACTTAATGGCTCTGAGCGGCGATGTAGGTGCTGAAAACCGGGCCCTCTAAAAGAGCAGCTGACCTCGAGACCATCTCTCCAGCCCTGAGGCAGAAGCCGCAAGTCAAGACAGCAAGGCTGAAGAGCTCTTGGTGGACTCAGACAAAACACACAGAGCAATGCTGGCACAAAAACCTCAGCACTGCAGACAACTCGCGTCTACGTGTGAAAATCCCAGCGTTCCTAAACCTCTCCTCTACTACACAGACAGGAAACGTCCATCTGTTGGGTCAAGAACACCATGCCCCGTGCCTCCCCTCAGTGAGCTGACAATCACGTGGACTCCTCCGCTCTCTTAGGGACAGAACTCATTTCTGCAGAGACTTCCCAGAGACAGAAACTCCACTCAATGTACGCCATGCTTGCAGCACGCTGCTCCTCTGTGGATGCTACGGTCTCGAACCTGTTTCTGAGGAGATAATGGCTAAAATGGCTCACAAACTATTCCAACAGAGGAACACTCTGGGACGCGTGTCAGGACCTGCCTGGCATTTAAGAAAGCATTTCGGCTTTTTTTCATTGTTTCAGCTCTTCTTTCCACAACCCCAGGACCAATGCCAAGCTTAAAGGGATGTAAAAAGTTAGCTACGTTGTTTGCTCTGAACGTTTGCTAATATATACCTTAGTATTGCTTTCCATCTAACACAAGCTGCATATATGAGGAGCATTTTTTCCATTATAAAAATAATACTTTTATTTTTCTGAAGACTTAGAAAGAAAAGCAGGCTTTGAAATTTTTATATTTTATATGCAATTTAAATTGTATAAAAAATTTTAAATTTATACTGCAGTTCACTAGCAAAACAATCTTTTGATAGGGAAAAAATAAAAAGTATAATTGTTATGACTATTCAAAGACCATGCTCATATATAGCCATGTGCTGCCCTCTGCTGTGCTACAGACTAAATTACACCCCAAACTAAAGTCATGTATCTATATAGTCAATCATTAGACAAGCCATGTACTAAAACTAAAAGGTAGAAGATGGTAAAAGGTAAACAAAGGTCAATAAAAGATTTCCCTATTAATATATTACGGGAGCCCCAACCCAATGTGTGTTTTACTGTAATAATGGTGAGTCACCCTGGTCCCAGAAGAGAAAGATTGGCATTGTGCAGGCTTTTATAAGACATACATCATAGTAAAGACGCCACATTTACTGAATAAGAAGAAAACGGGACAAAAAGGAAGAAAAGTAATATTAACTACCTCTTGGCTATCTTTGTTTTGGTTCGCCCAGAAAATTTTATGATAGAGCGTCTCCATCGAATTGCTGGAATCAGTGCGGTCAAAGCAATGACGGTCCAAGACTTCCAGTGTGTGCAAAACCCGACTAATAGTCACCCCTAGATGCAGAAATTAAGGAAGCAATTAAATAAGCCAGAGTTATTAGAGCATTAAAAACACCACTACACAAGGGAGAGAGCTTTGTAACTCTCGGCATATACTATCAAGGAACTGCAGGAACTAAAGTAGACATTCTAGGCAGCCAGTAGCTAAAGGCCTATAGCTCCCTCGTTCCTGAGTGCCTTGCCAGCCCGAGGAAGACAACAGAATGCTGACGGCTCTTCAGCGGGATACTGTACCTGCTGTTGACTCCTGACACTTGTCAAAAGACCACCGGACCTCTACTGCACGGCCTCGCTGTTTGATCTGCTGTTCTACCTCATAAATCCTTGCCCGAACCTGGAAGATAGACACTTCAAATTAACTTGTACTTGGAAACTCTGAATGGCTGCCTAAACAATGTCAAGGCTTCTACGTGAGTAGATCCTCCTCAGGTGAGTGACAATCTCTACTGTATCGCAGGAAACCTAAGTTCCTGCGTGAGCCATGCATTTTTAACTTTACAAGCGATGGTTTGATTCCATAGTAAATGCTTATAAAAACAAATGCCCGGGGGAAATGTAACAAGTGAAATTTCTTCACAATATGTAAGGCAAGGCAGAGTTCGAGTATCTCTGAGCCATTGGTCCAAGCAGGAAACGAATGAGCAGAGTTTCAGTTACTTAAAAAAACAGCTCAGTGATTCTACTGGACCTATTGGTTTCGTGGGAGCCTAGGCAGTTTCGTGGATGCTCACCTTACTAGACCTGGATGGAGGTGGGTGGTCCTTGGACTTCCCACAGGGCAGAGAACCCTGATTGCTTTTTGGGCTGACGAGGGAGGGGGACTTGATTGGGGGAGGGGGAGGGAAAGGGGAGGCGGCGGTGGGGAAGAGACAGAAATCTTTAATAAATAAATTAATTAATTTAAAAAAATTAAAAAAAAAACAGCTCAGTGAAAGGCAAGCGTCTTGTGCTAAGTATCAGACATAATCCCAAAGCTGAAGCTGCATTACGTCTTGAAGCAAATAACGCAGCACAAATAAAAATACACAACAATTACTAGACATCACAAGCTCTTATCCCAGGGCTCACAGTCGGGATCAGACTCTTCACCAAAACTGCTGGGGTGGCAGTTGCCTGGGTGAGCAGAACACTCTAGGAACATCTGTGTTTCCAAAAAAAAAAAAAAAGTCAAGAAAGATAAAAAAAAAAAATCACCTAGAGTCATGGCAGAGCTGGGACAGTCACTACGGTATCTCAGGTGGCCCACCATGCTCAGGTGCTTCTGGGGAACGAAAACATTCATAAAAGCAATGAAGCAAATGTCTACCTGCTGATTGAAAGCCGTATTCCCACCCGGCATGGGGAGGCTGGAAGGGGCAACCTGCAGCAGATCCAGGGGAGAGCCTGGGTTTGCGATCTTATTTTCGTTTGTGGAATAGTTCCACACCAAGGCACTTGGGCAACACAGAGTGACAGTCTAGAAACAAAGCAGGAACATCCCAGACATTTAGAGGAAGGACAAAAGTATTAACAGCAACTTCAATTTTAAAAAAAATGGCAGCAGGTTTCCTACAGATGATCGTAAAATACAAATGTCATTCCCCACAATCAGCCACCCAAGTGGTAAGACAGGACTTATGAGTCATCAACACAGCTACCGAGAAATTAGTGTGGTTTATTACCTAACACTCCAACAGAGGAAATGTAGGAGGCTGAGTAAAATATAATATTTGTTACTTTCGAATGAATTTTTTATAGTTAAGCAAAAAGAAATACAATTAGAATATTAATTGCTAAGATTAAAATTTTTATTGTTTTTTAAAAACTCTTAAGTAGTGTGTCTTAAAGCTTGGCAAACACCCAGCAGATGCACCTTCACAGGAATCATCCAGCGTTTCCATAAAAGTCTGGACAACAAATATTTCCAGCTTTGCAGACCACCTACAGTTTCCCTTTGGTGATTTCAGTTTCACAATAAAAATGGGAAGCCTATTCTTGGCTCGCGGATTAGATCTGGTCTAGAGGCTAACTCCCCCCCACTTGTACCCTAAACTTTTGTGGACACTCTTTTTAAGCTCAGCCTGATTGTATGCAGCAGTCCTTCCAAAACATCACACCTGTTTGTGAGCCAGGTGCTGCTGGCTTAGCTTTATCTCAAAAACGCCCATCAAAAGGCAAATAAATGATGCTTCCCATATCTCGAGGCTGGCTCTGAGAACGGAATGGCTTCATAGGTCACCACTTAACACAGTGCCTGAAACCAAACCTAATACAGTGTGAAAGACACTTAGAAAGGACAGGACCGTGACAGCGGTTTTATGGCTTGCTTCTGTTTCCAGACTATAATTTCCTGCTATTCTTTCCCCATATACCCAACCCTCCTATTCTCCTTGACGGGCTCTCCTCGACATCTCTCAACCATACGTGCCTTCAGATCAGTAAGTCATTTGTCACTAGGAGCTCTGTGGGCAGCCTCAACACACCTCAGGTCTGCCTAGTCTTCAGAACTAGAAATGTACCCATCTCTTGAGCATATCCACAAGCAGAAGAACCATCCTGGCATCCTTCGGCATTCTTGAGGTACTAGCTCCAAGACCCCTCTCAGATATCTAAATTACAGATATGCTCAATCTCCTGAAATTGCATAGTATTTGCCTATAATCTGTGCCGTCCCCACACTTACCTGCAACATACAACTAAGTCCATAAACCAAGGGGCCATGTTGCGCACAGGAAAGGAAATCCGAGAAGGCCAGCTGCATGGGGCTCATGCCAGGGCCAGGGGTGCCAGGACTGGGGGTCCCAATACTCGTGTTGTTTGCTCCGATTATCATGTGGGGTGAGTGAGCAGCGAGGAGGCTGGGGCTATCACTCAGTAGCAAGGAAAGACGCCGGGCACAAAAGTACGCTAGACGACGAGACAGGTAGGCAGACTGGACAAACTCATCTGAGTACTGAGAGAGGGGCAGAAGGGGAACAGGAGTCAGTCATGCCTTATGCTTCAGAACTAGTTCAATTTGACTCTCCTTACTAGGAAGAAAAGGCATAAATACAAGGTAGGCCAATGTCATCCAGCTGTGACATAAAGTAAGCCACATACATAGTCTTGAATTTTTCCAAACACCACTAAGAAAATAAAACAGGGATTCAAGAGATAGTACGGCAGTTACAGAATGCAGGCTTTGTGGTTCCCAGCACCCCCACTTCAGGAGGCTCACAACTACTTCTAACTCCAGATCCAAGGGATGGATGCACTCTGTCCTCTCTGGGCCCCTGCATGCATGCAATGCACATACACTCATGCAGGTACACACATAAAAATAAACCTTTAAAAAAGGCAAAATGAAAGTCAAAGAGAATAACGTGCTGTATTTGTGCCAATACTTCCAAGTCATATCACTTCAACAAGTAACTAATATAAAATGTATCCAGGGTATACATTTTTGCATAAAATCTGAAGTCTGGTGTGCATTTTATACTTACAATGTATCTCAGTTCATGGTGGTTACTTTTCAAGAGCTCAAACACCCATCTGGTGAGGGGCTTAACAAGAAATGCAAGCACAGACCAACCCGGAAACTAACATAGAAGGAACAGGCAAGACTCTCTTGTGTGCAGCATCAGGGGAAGGTGAAACGACATGGGAAAGTTGCCCGCCCAGTGATGCACTTCCAAGTCATCTGAATTATCACTATCTCTATGCGTTACTAAGAGAAGAATAAGTCTCATTCAAAATACCATTATTTAACACTATTTGACAAATTAGCCTTAGTGACCCTAAGAATACTTGCTAAGCCTAAGAGGCTGTCTTGCTCAGAGAGGAGCAAACCAATGTGGTGAAATTATGTTTAGGTTAAAAAAAAAAAAAAACTATGGACACAACAATAGAAATGCTTCCTTAGCATTTAAAACATTTTCTCCCTTTCAGAAGGAACGGTTTTCCCCTTTCTGCCTCTCCTTGCCAGACTCATCTCTTGCCATTTGCTCGACTAGGTGGCGCTGAGACACACCATACCTGCAGCATCAGTGGCAGAAGGAGCTTGAGAAGGTTGTCGTCCACTGGTCTGATCTTTTCTAGGACGTCCAGGATCCACGTCAAATACTCATGTTTTTCCAACATCCCTTCCTTAAATGAAGAAAGGGTACACTACTAATGACAAAAATACCCTATGGTTTTAAGATACACTGCCGCCATGTAAATTCAATCCTGTGTGATTGTCACAGGGTCACATCCCACAGTCCAAACCCCAAACAAAGATGTAGAGGGATTGGGGGGAAGCAGTATGTGTGACCAGGGGTTTTATTTTTGTTTCTGGTAACACATTTCATTCTAAACTTATTTTTTAAAATTCAGATATTCAGAAGCCATCACATTCCAGGCTGACACATACCAAGAAGCTATCAGGGGCATGAACTCATTTTCAGGGAACAGATGGGGCTAACTGTGATCACTCTGCAGAAGACTACTCATACCACTGTCCCAAAGGTACAAAACCCACACCAGACTCCGGGCCTAGAGTAAATCTTAAATGACTCTCAGATTCGTCTACCTATAAATTGTTTGATTGTTCACTAAATGATGGAAAAGGTAGACTTTTAATAAAACTAATTTTAAAATAATTCTATACAACCATCCTAAAAACAAAAAAAAAAAGCAAAAAAAAAATAATCCAATTACCCCTCTGTCATGGCATGGTGCCTTTTCCCTTATTTTTTTTTCTTTTTTTAACTAAGCACTCTACTACTGAGCTACATCTCAAAGATGCCACTAACACTAACACATTCATGCTGTCCTTTGTCAACTGCCTTCATACACACGTGAATGCACGCATACACACGCCTGCCTGTATACACACTTGTGATGTGGGATGTCCTTCTGTATATGTGTTGCTTTTATTGAGTAATGAATAAAGTTGCTTTGGGCTATGGCAGGGCAGAATATAGCCAGGCTGAAAGACATATAGAGAGACAGTAGTCAGAGTCAAGGAGCCGCCATGTAAGTGACAAAAAAGAAGGGCACGCTGGAACCTTACCCAGTAGGCCACAGCATCGTGGCCTACAGATACAGATTAATAGAAATAGGTTCATTTAAGATGTAAGAGTTAGTCAGAAAGACACCTAAGCTATTGGCCAAGCAGCACTGTAATTAATATTGTTTCTGTGCGATTATCCGGATCTGGAGGGCCCAGAACCAAAGAGGAGTCTCCCTCTACACACATGTACAAATACATTTGTATGACTTTCTAGACATATATACTTAATGTCATATCATCGTCTTGGTGTTACGTTTCAAAGGATGAAAAACTTCAAAATAGAAACAATCCATGTTTTATGAAAATCACATGCCCTATTTATGAATTTTGCAAACATTTAAAATAAGCTTTACATCAATGTGTAATGATGGTGAATACAAGGAAACAAAATTAATTTTAAAAAGGAATCCTGGGGCTGGGGAGACGGGTCAAGCGGTAGAATGTTTGCTGTGCAAGCATAAGGACCCAAGTTCAATTACCAGCATCCATATTAAAAATTAAATAAATAAGTATTAAACATAGTGGCATGCACCCATAATCCCAGGGCAGAGAAGTAGGTAAGGGCAGACCCTTGAAGCTCATTGGCCAGCCAACCTAGACTAAGCCGAAAGTCCCAGTAGGAGACCTGGTTACAGAAAATAGAAAGGCTGGCTCCTGAGGAATGCGTCAATATTCAGTGCTGACCTTTAGCCTCCAAGTATCCATGCAATCGGGACAAGCAATAGCGTGCATGCGCACACACACCACACACACAAAAAAAAACAAATTTAGTACATATTACTACTTTATTACATAATCTTTCTAAAAGCACTAAATGTGCTGAATAAGCACACTTCTGAGATACCACGTGAATGGCTAGCTCTGTAAAAGCCATGGCAGTGTGGAATAGGTTCTGAAGCAGTCAGCATGAGTGGGGCTTAAGAGCTATATCTGGTCATTTAAAAACTAACAATGCCATTTCACAAAAGAAACAGACAGTGTTTTTGTTTGTTTTTCTATTTGAGCTGTCTCTAAAACTCACGTTTCCTGGATATTTCAATTGAAGTAATAATGGAATATTTAAGAACCACATATTCCTTTCCTCTTTGAGAAAGATAATGAATCATGAAAACCTGGGCTAATAACAGGACTTTAGCTGAATACACCTTGTCAGGAGTAAAAACAAAGGCAAGTAACACCACAATTGACCTCTGATGGTAAAAAGAATTACAACGATGGGGTGAGGACCTCAGAGTTCCTGGATTCCCTTAATTCACCGCTTAAAGTTTCATTTCAAGACACAGCTGAGCTAAACGAAGAGACCTCCGCATGAAAACATCCAGTGTCAGGGGAGATCTGTTCTGAGACAGAACGCATCAGCACAAAGGAGTTTCTCAATAAATAAATATATCTAATTTTCAAAATAAAGAGTTTAAGAGGGTTGTGCCTAGCCGCACAATTACAAAGTAATTAGTGGCACTAAATTTCCTGATGTCACTGACAGCTGAAGATAAATTTGTGTAACAAACTGTCATCATAGAGCACACAGGTTCCCCAGAATGTACTGTAAGACATGTGCCTGGCACTGTCGTGCGTGCCTGTAACCCCAGGAAGGCAGAGAAAATCAACTACATCTACATACGTGAGTTCAAGGCCATTCAAGAACTTGCCTCAAAAATTTTCATTTACATACAAATAAATGTTAAACTTCTTTCTGTGAACGCATCAGTTCATATAAAGATCCATTATTTAGCCCAGAAAATACAACTATAGATATCTGTCAGCATGTTTTGGTCAACCAAAGACCACCCGTAACAGGTACATACTATGTCATATAGTATAAGTATGTAGCAGGCTATATCATCTGCATTTATACATAAGTGTACTCTGTGATTTTGCAGAATGTTAAGAGCACCTAGCAACCCAGCCCTGAGAATGCATCCCCGCTGCTGAGCAGCGCATGACTGCATGTGGAAGGTGGCCTTTCCTTGCACGCCTTCGTCAGATTACCTGGAACATGTGAAATGCCAGCTTCTCATTGTACTCCCACTGCTTCATGGCTTGCTCGACCTCTGGTGGCACGGGGACAGGACCGTCCCCTGTACTGGAGGCCATGTGGTAAAAGTCAGAGATCTTGACCAGCTGCTCTCTAAGGTACCTGGTAGATATTTGCGTCCACTCTGTATTGAGAAGAGGAAACAGAGTTCTGATTATAGACACAGCTGTGAGAGTTTTACCTCTTCTCCCCTGATTACCCTAGGACATACACTGAAGTCTAACTTTTTTTTACATAAAAATGACTTTTGCACATGCAGCCATTACTCAAGAGAGCATGCCCAGACAGAGCCTGGCCAGATCACAGGAGGACTAAGCCATTCTCCTCTTGTGTACGTGAATTTCACCAGCTGTGATAAACAACAGTTAGTATCACAAACCACTCACGGGTCATCAGAAAACAGACTAGCAGCGAAGAGTACTTGTAAGAAATCTCAATCCAAAACTCAAGAACACCAAACCTCTCCCATGTAGCTCTTAGGGTGTTTGTGATTTTTTTCCCACTCCATGTCAACTTTCAAACACGTGTGCACTGGACTTCTGTCTTCTACCGTTCTGACATCCACAGGCTAGACCATGAGCTTCCCAACCTACGCACCCCTTATGGTGTGTACAGACACAGGAATGGCTGACCTGGTCTGACCATCTACACCTTGGTTGCTTTGCTTCCTTTAACTAGCACTGATAGGCCAGCACTCACTTAGGTTGAGTGAGCAGCACCAAAAGCTAAGAAATGAAGAGGCGGCAGAAAAGAGGGGTAGGAGGCTGAGGAGATGGTTCAGGGGGTATAGTCCTGTCTTTCCTAGAGTGAGGAGCTGAGTCTGAATCCCAAGAACTTAGTTATAGACAATTTATATAGATTTTCTTTTCTTTCTTTCTTTTTTTTTTTTTTTTTTTTTTGGTTTTTCGAGACAGTGTTTCTGTGGGGCTTTGGAGTCTGTCCTGGAACTAGCTCTTGTAGCCCAGGCTGGCCTCGAACTCACAGAGATCTGCTTGCCTCTGCCTCCCCAGTGCTTGGGATTAAAGGCATGTGCTACCACCACCACCCGGTATAGATACTTATATATTGATACATATGTAAAATTACCTTTGTGTTCCTAAGATAATTTGTATATTGATACAAATTCAAATTATATTTGTTATATTGAATATGCTCCTATTTCTGTTTACAATATTTGAAGTTTTTGTCATATTGTATATATACATGTTTCTACCTCTGCTTAAGATATTTTGTATGCTGATGCAAGTTGGGAATTTTTTTATCATTTTGCACTATGCATTTCTACCTATGATCAAAATATTTATATATACTGTTACATTTCAAGGCCACTGTCTTCATTACTGTACATCTGTTTACAGATTTTTTATTTTTTATAATGTGAAACTTTAGTCTTTAATCTATACAGGCATTAAGAATTACAGGTTAATAGTTACACATGCTTGTCATATGTTTAGCTATATTAGTCAGGTTCTCTACATGAACAGAGACATATACCACATAGATAGATATGTAATCTTCATATACTTCAAAGAACTGCAGAATATGGCATTTAAATAACTCAGGATTCTGTTGATGTGAGACACGATTGCTCCTGGAAGCACCCATCTATTCCTTAAAAAATACTGGACACTGAAGACACTCCACTTGGAGTTTGTCTTCTTGGAAAAACTGGCCTTTGGGCAAAGAACTGCCCTTTCCTTGTCTACTGACAATATGCACACTGTCCAAACTGGACAAGCAAGATACAGCTAAAAACAAACAAACAAACAAAAAAACTGCTAAACCATGCCAAGACAGTCTTTCAAATTTTCCTGCTTTTGAAAATGGTCTGTCAGATACTCTAGACCTTAGCCAAAGTTGGTTGCCTCAATTCTGCAAGAGACTTTGGGTGATTGTTCAGGTAGCCAGCTATATCTGTCATTTCTTGCACCTTTTGGAAATCACTTGCTTGCATTTCCTGCTTATTCTCAGGTAATATTAATTTCCTTTTCAGGTCTTTGATAGGGTTGAGGACTAACTAGTCCTCAACTAGGTCATAGCTACTTTCCTCTCATAAACTTAACTAATTCATTTTTAATATAAGACTTGACTTCTCAGGATAGGAAAGACAGATGTTGAAATAATCTCTGTCATTTGTTCATTACATTAGACAGGACATTTAGCATGTGTTCTTGCTTGGTGTTACTCATGCTGGTTTTAGTTTTTGTGTATGTTTTTCCCCTTTCTTTCTCCTGGACAATACTTGATATTTTGTTCTTATTGTATACAGTTTTTTTTATTAGGTTTAGAACCTTCTTATTTAGACAAAAGCGGGAAGTGTGATCAGTATTCTTTCAGCCTTTTGGGCACCGGCCTACTAGGGCATGGTCTGAGATACTAAGTGTGGGCTGAAAAGCGCAGACAGGAAGCATGCTCGCTCTCTAGGGGGGTGGTCGGAGTTCTGTTTGCAGCTTCCAGCACCCACAGAGCAGGGGACCACAGTTCTCTCCCCATATTGTGAGGTTTCCCCAAATAAAAATTTGCTATCCTTTATTCTGGGCTCTCGTGGACGTCCTTAATGAGGTGAGCCTGTGACCTATGTATGGGGGCAATCCAATGTTTCTGTCCCCCAACACAGACACATACTCGCACACACACAAAACAAAAATCACTAAAATTATTTTTTAAGATGACTACCGCTGGGGCACAAATTAAACTGTGTTGCCTCTGGCAACCAGAAAGGATATGATACTAACTTTAGCCCATTCTGTGGGCAAAAATGTAGTAACTGCAAGCTTGCAGCCAAATTTCTCCTAGAAGTTAGGAAAACAGCATTCTCTAAGAAGCCATCTAAAGGAAACAACTTCAACGTCTCCCCATTGTTCCTTCTCCCGCTCTCTCAGAAATGAGGAGTGAAAATCAATTGTCTGACAGAAACCAAGAATGTTCGCTCTATTTGTCAAATGCAACCAGAGACCACCACTGCTGAGTGTTAGTTTAAATAACCTGCTCCAACTATGTCTTGTAAACTAAAATCCAGTCTGGTGTGGTAATGAAAGCCTATAATGCCAACACTTGGAAATGGATGCAAGCAATCTGGAGGTCACTCTTGCCTACAGAGTAGGCTTAAGGCCAGCCTGGGCTACAAGAAACCTGTATCAAAAAAAAATAATAATAACAACATAAAGCAATAAGATTGAAGTGCACACAGCTGTTAAATTCCCATGATGAACCAGTGTATTCTGCTCCGAGTTTACTCACTGCTAAAACTGATCAACTGGAACTAAAAACATTCAACTATGAATGTCATCATTTTCTTGTCCCCTTGTGACATGGACTCATGGTCTCACGAAGCTTGTTCAATCAAAACACTAACCATCTGCTGAGACAGAGTGAGGTTACCTCTACCAAGCAAAACCAGAAACACTGACACCGACTCTGGGCTTTGTGCAGCAAGCCTTGAGAGTAACAGGCTCTCAGTATGGCACTGTGGGCATGCCCAGGGTACATTCCAGTCAAAACTGAAAATAACACAGATCTGCACACACCTACTTTGTCTCAGGCATTATTACCATTTTCTTTAAAATATAGAAGTACAAGTTTGCTATGGAAACCGTGTAATAAGATACGGATGCAGAAGAAAACCCGTAATATCTCACTAATCACTATTTGATTAAAGAAATACAGTGTTGTCCACATAATCACAGGGACATGGTGTCAGCAGTTCCACCACAGATACCAAAATCTGCAGGTGCCCAAGGTCCTTATGGGCAGATGGCTCAGCCAGTGTGACACTTACCAACCAAAGGTGAGGACAGAGTTCAGGTCCTCCGAACCCAATAAATGTCAGGTAGTCATGGTGGCGCACCTGAATCCTAATGTATGGGAGGCAGACACAGTGGAGCCACAGAGCAAGAAAACTAGCTATGACCAGTGAGCTGTACTCAACCAAGAAAGCAAAAGATACCCAATATCAGCCTTGCGCCTTCACATGCTTACACACACAAATATGTGTACCTGCATTGACATGCACCCATGTACATACACACATGGACACGCATACATATGGAAATGTTATTTGCATAAAACTGTAACATATTCATACATCTTTTCTAGATTTATAACATAAAATAAAACGTAAAGCTTACACAAGTACTTATTGTGTAGATAGCTGACAAGCACTAAAGTCTATACATGTCCAGTTTAGATGTAATTTATTTCAAATATTTTCCATCCCTGGATGGCTTAATCTGCAGTCAAAACCTATCTATGGATACACTGAGCTGAAAAGATGGCTCAGTGCATATAGCACTTGTTTATCGGAATTACCCTTGTAAGTTAAAATTCCCAGCACTCAGGTAAAAGCCAGACCTGCACATGTCTAGACTCCCAGCTCTGAGGGGCATGGGGGTAGATGTCATGGTAGACTCCTCAGGACTTGCTGGCTACCAATCGGGCTCCATATTCAGTGTAATGGGAATATGGCAGAAAATGGTAGAGAAAACTACAATTTTTTAAATGAATCTTTATTTTATAAACACATGCATATCTTTTCTTTAATTGCCAAACACACTACCCTGAGATCTGAACCCCTTTTAGGAATTAATAAATGCATCATCCCTTTGGGCATATTAACATCAGACATCTATCTAATTATCATATGAAACAGCTGATCTCAAGATCTGTGGGAAACGGCACACGATTAAAAACTAGGATGCACAGAAAACTGTCATTAAAAATTGAAAGAGAAGGCAGGCGGTGGCGGTGCACAACTTTAACCCCAGCACTCGGGAGGCAGAGGCAGGTGCTTCTCTGTGAGTTTGAGGCTAGCCTGGTCTGCAGAGCAAGTTCTTAAGTAGCCAGGGATTTTACATAAAGAAACCCTGTCTCAAAACCCTACCCTCCTGCCCTCTCCCTCAAAAACAGATAGAATGGAGATACGGTAACTGAGAGTACCACCTACTCTTGAAGAAGACTGAGGGCTGATTCCCAGCACCCATGATGAGACAGAAATAGAGAAACAACAACGTAGGTCATAAAGAATCAAAGAAAGGTTAAAAGCCCTGAAGCAAAACACAGATGAAGAGAAACAGGTTAAATTAAGTTAAAAAGCTAGCGGGACAAGCCTAAGCTAAGACCGAGCTT